CCCCCCCCCCCGCTTTTTAAGAACTTGACTTTTATTTTTTATTTATTTGTTTTTTATGTGGTGCTGAGGATCATACCCAGTGCCTCACCCATGCTAGGCAAGCACTGTACCACTGAGCTATAACCCCAGCCCCCTTTTAAGTTTTTTGGGGGGAATGAGGTCTCACTAAATTGCCCAGACAGGCCTTTAACTTGAGATCCACCTGCTTCAGCCTCCCAAGTGATGGGATTACAGGTGTGCATCACACCTGGCTCCCAGAAATTTTAATGTGGGAAAATTGCTGACCTAGTTTTTACCCTCTGATATTCAAGATGAGGAATTTGAAGCCCTGAGAGTGACATATCCCAAGATGTCCAAACCAGGTGGTGGAAGAACCCCAGCCTGTGACTCATTGTCCTTGTGACCACACCATTCTGGTGGGCAGCAATGGGCCTCAGAAAAAGCAACTCAGTTCCCTTACCATATTCCAGGCCTTTTGTGGTGATCCTGGCCACAACTCCAGGATTAGAAGCTCCTTCTCCAAACCTGACGGAACTTTCCAGCAGCAATAGGACCACTACCACATGGTACGGTCTGGCCATCATCCTTGTTCTCCTCAGCTCCTTCCTCTGCAGAGGTTGGTCAGAGGCTTTTCGTAGGAGCCTCCCTTACCAAAGGTGAAGGCAGAGGCTGAGGTACTTATAAAGCCAGAAGCCGGATGAGATCTGAGCCAACTGGGGAGTGGGGTGGAGGTCTAGTTCCCAGCAATTTGAGATGATGAAAAGGTTGCTTGTGAAATTGTTTGAGTTTTATGTTTGCCACGCCTCCCAATTCTTCCTCTTCCAAACTTTCTGGCTCAGTGCTTGGGAGGGCCCCTCCTCCTCCCCTCCTGTCACACCCCTCTCTAGCTGAACACCAGCCATTCATTCCCGTTATCGGGAAGCTGAAGTCTAAACACCCAGCTGGCAGTGAGGGCCATCACAGCATGGCTGCGTGCCACTAATCTCTCCAACCAGGTCTCCCGCCACCGGCCTGCCAGTGCTCTGCCCTCTGGCTGTGCCGCAATCCACTGTTCTCTACTGACATCATGCAAGAGCTGATCAAATCAGGTCACAAATACAACAGGTGTATCCAGGAACTCCAAGTGGATTTTCTCTTGCCTGTGTTGTTTCTAATTGGCTTTTGAGGCATAATTTATATGCAATAAAATGCATATATGTTAGGTGTACCGCACCATGGATCTTGACACAGGCATGCACCTGGGTGACCGCACCATAATCCAGGTGTAGAACACTTTCCAACACCCCAGGAAATCCCTTGTGCCTCTCCCCAGTCAATCTCCCTCCTTGCATCCTGTATCAGAAAACGCTGCTCTGCCCTCTAGGGCCACATATTAATTTTACCTGCTCTCGGGCTTCACATAAATGCGGCATATCTTCCTTTCTGACTGGTTGCCTTCATGTTTTTAAGCTTAGTTCATGTTGTTTTGTATTTCAGTAATTTCTTTCTTTTTTTAGGGGGTACCAGGGGTTGAACTCAGGGGCACTCAACCACTGAGCCACATCCCCAGCTCTCCCTCCACCTTTTTTTTTTTTTTTTTTGTATTTTATTCAGAGACAGTGTCTTGCTGAGTTGCTTAGGGGCTCACTAAGTTGCTGAGGCTGACTTTGAACTTGTGATCCTCCTGCCTCAGCCTCCCAAGCCACTGGGATTACAGGCGTGCACTGTGCCTGGCTTCATCTCTCTTTTGGGTCCTCCCATTTTCTATCTCCTTTCCATCATATCAAGGTAGAATCCTGAGGAGTAAGTGTTAGGAGACACAGGAAGTGCGGGAGGGCTCGCGGGAGCACTCCAGAGAGTGGGTGCTGGAGCTTGGTGTTGGAGTAGGAGCAGGAGTTGGATGAACAGAGAGAGGAATGGCGTCCTGGGTGGAGAGGACAGCCCCAGCCAGTGCTATGGGCATTCTAGAGGGCACGAGGAGGTGTGGGAGGGTGTGGGCCAGGGGTGGGGTGGAGGAGAGGGGCAGGAGAGAAGGTGTGAAGCCGGGTGCAGGAAGCTCATCCTGAAGGCTCTTGTCGGAGAATGAACACGAGATGATTTTGGATTTTCAGTGACTGCTGATGCTCATGTTCTGTCCAAGTCTGTCCGCTGGGTAGTGAGCTCCCTTCAAGATGTCCCTGTCCTTGTTGTATCACTTTATGGTCCTCTTGGCTTCTTTGAGACTTAGTCCTATTCATGTTGAAATGGTGACCTCAGGGCCTCCTTAAAGTCCTCCCCCCTGATTCCGGGCTGGCTTTCCGTGACTCTTGTGGCTTCAGGGACGTGTGTGTGTGTGTGTGTGTGTGTGTGTGTGTATGTGTGTTCTCTTCCCCTCTCTTTCTGTCTCTGTCTGTCTGTCCCTCTTGCTCTCTTGCTCTCACCCCCGCCTCCTTCTCCCTCTCCCCTTCTCTGTTCCCTTGAGGAAGAGGAAGGGAAGCTGCCTGAGGTGGGTTGGGGGCGGGTGACCTCTTAGCTGACCTCAGTGATCGTGATATTGCTGTCACCTTGCTTAGGTCCTTGCCGCTGGCCAAGCTTGATGTCTGCCAGTTCAGGGTGGCTAAAGAGGCCCCGCCAGCCCTGATGAGGGTCTCGTTCCAATCAGTGGCCCCAGGCAGGGACAGCTCCTGGGACAGCCATCCTCTGTCTTTGTCCCTCCAAGTCACATCCTCAACCCCAGGCCTGGGGTCAGAACTGGCCAGTTTTCCTTCCCTGTGGGAGTCTCAGGGAGGCCCCTGCTGCTTCTCCTGCTGCCCCCTACCACCTGCCACCGTCCCATCCCTGGCCCTTGTTCTTCCCCCCTCCTCCTCTGGGCGCGGGGCAGTTCAGCCGATAGCCAGGTAGGAAAGGAGATGTCAGTCTCCACTTGTTGCACTGCCCCTAAATTTCTAGAAGCTTCTCTCTGGGGGTCCTTCTTCCTTGCCTTATTTTAGGGGAACTGACTCCCGTAGGATGGTGAGGGGAAAGGACAGCTCAGGGTCTTTACCACCTCATGAAAGTGGCTTAATCAAGAGCCTGGTGTGGGCAGCTTTGGGTTCTGCCCAGATGGGGCCAGCAGCAAGTGGAGGATGGACAGGCTCTGCACAGGGCTGTGGGGTTGGACCGCAGAACTCCACAGGGGACAGAACACGGTGTCTGTGTTGGTTTGCTAGGGCTGCTGTAACAGTAAGCGAGGTGGCTTAACAGAAATCCCTTTTCTCACTGTTCTGGAGGTTGAGGGTCTGAAGTCAAAACGTTGGCAGGGTCGGTTCCTTCTGAGGGGTATGGGGAAGGATCTGTCCCGTGCCTCTTCCCTGCCTTCTGGTGATTGGCAGGCAGCCTTAGCTATTCCTGGGTGGGACATGCCTCACATCGCTCTCTGCCCTAAGGTTGCCCTAAGGTGTGTTGACTGCACCCAAACCTCCCTGTCCTAGGGATGCCATACTGAATTAGGACCCACCTTGATGATCCCATTTTAATCTAACTTATTATATCTGCAATGACCCTGTTTTAAAATAAAGTCACATACTGAGGTACTGGGGTTAGGACTCCAACATATGATTGGGGGGATATAAGTTAACCCCTATTGGTACCCTATCAGCTACAGGAGTGACTGTGGCAACTTAAGTCAAGGAGATGCTGAAATTTCAGTCCTGTCCTTCTCTGTGCCTATATCCCACCCCCCAGATGGGGTTAACAGTGTCAACTTGCAGGGTTCGTGTGGGGATTCCATAGGGGACATTTGGGAGTGTGCTGGGCTCCTGCTGGCCACTGACTCTGGGCAGTGACTTCATCTGGATTAGGGGCATCCCCTGAGCTGGCCTCCTGGGAAACCTTGTGTTACTGGAAAAGCAGAAGCAACAGTAGAGAAAAACTTCTCATCACCTTTCTCACTTCCCCTTTGGCCAGGAATTTGGAAGCTCCTGTCAATATAGAGTTCAAGTTCCTCAAAAGCTCTGGGCTGAAGCACTTGCCTCCTGTGGGTGTTTGGACAAGTGCTATCTTCATTGGACCTGCTGGGGCATCTTGGGCACGTCTGACTTGGGGTTCCCTTTGCCACATCATTCTGAGATTGGCCTTCCCACCAGTCTCCACCTAAATCCCTCCACTCCCAGGGAGGGAGGGCAGGCCAACCTAGAAACACCTGTGGCTGGACTACCCCTTGGTAGCTTTTCTTCTTCCAGCAAGTGGGCCCCTTGACCCCTTTCTTAGGTCCACTCTAGATATTAACCAGCAGTGTGGGCTTTGCAATTTTCATAGGTACTTGATTCTAGGCTCAATCCCATTCCCCAGGGACTGGGCTGATGCCATACTTTACTGGACCAAATCATATCTTAAGAAGCTCTGTCTGTCCGTGATAACAATAGAGATTCAGAGGGTACAAAAGGGTGAAAATAACTTTCCTCTGCCCCTGGCCCTGGTCTTCCAGCTCCCTTCCCCAGATGTAGTGTCCTTCTCATTCTTCCAGAAGTAGTTTGTGACCACAGAAGCAAATGGACAGGACAACCCAAGCCTTCTCCATCTTGCTTTTTGCACTTTACTGCAGAGCTTGGGGATGGCTCCATGTCGGCCCGGGCAGATCTGGCTCACCCATTTGAATGACTGGAAGCATTTCACAGCTTATTTTAATCAGTCTGCTTTTGATGGACATTTGCATGAGTTGCTTTCTTGCTTTGACAAACCTCACTCCAAAGTATCACCGTGAGATTGTCTTCATGCGAATGAAGACAATCTGCGGGAGTTATTCTGAGAAGCAAATGTTCTGGGTGACAGGATATTGGCATTAACCATTTTTTGCTGGATTTTTGATAGATTGCTTTCAAATAAGACGAATCCGTTTCCATCTGTTTTGTTATGGAAAGGGCTGAGGTCCTCTGTGGAACGGAGGCAGGAACTGAAACACAAGTCTCATCTGTAGCCCAACACATGTCCACTCCTTATGATGGACCCAGCCTGATTCCATCTTAAGGTTGGGAGCCATCTCATCACAATGTCATGAAAAGTTCATTTCTGTTTTACTGTAAAATAATAAGATTTCTATTTGGCCTGACCATAATTTGATGTTTAAAAAAAAAAAAACAACAACAAAAAAAACTTGCTTGGGATTCTTGCCTGGCTTTGAACTTTCCCGTGCCTGGCTGTCCCTGAAGAGATAACAACCCTCCCTGGAATCCAGCTGCTCCTCCTTGACTTTGATGTTAGGATCTGAGTTTGCCCCTACCTTGAGATGTTAAACAATGTAGATCATAAACCTGCTAACTGCCCTAGTATTACACTTGACAGAACCCTGTCAACTGTCAGTTCCCAAGACACCCTCCTATTTGTAACTTTTTGTGTTATAAAAACTTCTCTGTCACCAGACCAGTTGCTGTTCTTGGCCCTGTTTTTCCAGGTGAGGCAGCTGCCGGCCAGCTTTTGTGCACATGATATAAGCTTGCTTTAGTTTCGTTTAAACTGGACTTGGTGGTCTTTTTTTTGCATCATGGTTCAACATTTGGAGGCCCCAGTGAGATTCAGAACACCAAAATTCTGAAGCTGAACATTCGCTCTGGGACTCCAGGGCCTGAGCGCTGCCCCAGGGTTTGCG